TCACTTTGTTTATACTCATGATTTTATTTTCTATTTTATCACTGCTATTGTTTTTCTGATGTTTTTATTGTTTAGAGGTATTTGTCCTGATCTTTATCATGTTGTACAGCGCTTTGTGATTTATATCTGTGAAAGGCGCTATATAAATAAACGTTTACTTACTTACTTACTTACTTACTTACAAATTGCGCTCGGTCCTGCTGTAAAATTCCTGCTCGATTTTCACTAGCTTTAGCATTTTTCCTTTGCGTGTAGATGCCGCCGCGGCTGTGACGGGACCTACGGGCCACCGTAGAGGTGAAGGCTAGACTGTCCGAATTCAGAGCCGCTGGGTTCTGGTTTTAGCGGTCTGGCAAGGCCAGGTCCTTGCCAGACCGGCGAGGACCTGTACTCGTAAGCATCCTGCCTGTGGATTCGGACACACCCGCTGACTGCTCTTTCACATAACCACGTTCGGCAGAACAACTTCCGGTTCAAAAGGCCAACGGATCCATCATCCAATCAGTGATGCCTGTTGTTGCAGCACTAGTACCTACCTTTTCCGGTTTGTTTTTTGCTTTTCAATTTGGTTTTGTGTTTAGTGAATTTGTTGTTGCGTGTTTCAATTGGTTGTTTCTAATTTCTTACAATACTCTCTATTTAATTGTCCTTTAAATTTAGTGGCCACAAACCTGGGTCATGGACTCAAACACTGCTTTGGTGGAATCCCTGTCACGTTTATTCAGCTGACTTTGGGTCTCTCCATCTTCTGAGCTGTCACACTCTCTCCCTTCTTCCTTAACTTCCACTCTTTGTTCCTGACCAAACCTGACAATGGGACGGTCCAGGCTCTGTACATAATGAAATTGATATATGTGTTACAATATAGGCTATCATTTGTGACAAAATCTTTATCCGACTTACAACAGTCTTTAAAATTAATGCACAACAGGGAAAATGCAGCACAGACTCCTGCAGGATATTAGCTGTAGTTCTCCCTCATCAATACTACATTTCATATTTTATTGTGTTCAATGTTATATTACGTTTACTTATTACAATTATTAACAGCTTTTGTTTCGGTTTTGCTCTCTGATGAATTATTTGGAAATTACTGATTTTTGGTTTGTGTTCTAAAAGCTACAAAAACAAATTACATCTTGTAAAACCTCCCATAATTCAGTCAGATTCAAACCATTTCATTTCAAGGTATTTAGTAAATGAAGAGGTTTTTTTTCTTGTATGGTCCCTTCAAAAAGGTGCTTCACAGTAATTTATGTTACATTACCAGACTAAATAACAATGCTTCAACCTGCCCAGCATCCAAAACAATCTATACATTTTTACTGACTGATATTTATAATTATCATTATGTGCAAAAACAATGTGTTCATCACCAAAAATAGCCTTTTTATATTCCTTTGTAATGGTACTGATAGAGAAGAGAGCCGTAAGTGATTCCCACAGACCCCCTTAAATGAGGCTGCTAGCTAACATGCTACATTGCTCACCTTCTTGAGGTTCATTGGGTTGTGAGGGGACACCTGCTGACACATCATCAGCTGCTGATTCTAGTAGGGACATGGACAACAACCCATTTACCATAATTAGATGAAACATAGTTCCTCTCACTGTGGAAGCTAGCAAACACGTTGAATTTATACATTCAACCAAACCCACCTTTCTTTGAGAAAAACTGTGTGACATACTGTCTGCCTGTCCTCTTTCTCCTTTCTTCGACCCAGACTTTGTTCTTGCAAACATAGTTTTACTGCAGCCTTGGCGCACTCTGCTGTCTGACTGCTGCGTGAGCTGGCTTCGCCTGCTACACGCCCCTCGGCCAGGTGGACTGTACCATTTTATTTTGTGTTTCAAATTAATTAGTCAAAATAAAGTAGGGACCTCTGAATAAATATGCATTTCATAAAGACTAAAAGATTTTTTGTTTAATGTCTTGAATGAGAAAAATACTGCAAAGTAAAGTACTTGTGATTTTTAAACTAATTTTTTTTTATTCAACTTTGAAACGGTTTTGGGCTCCTGACAGCTGTGGGCCCTTAGAATCTTCCTAATCTTTCACCGCTTTACGGCGCCCCTGTACGTGCGTATGCATATGGAACATTTACAACAAACACCATTGTTTCAGGCTAAATCCCAGTATGGTAGCAAAAGTGGCAAACAGGACAGTAATGATAATTCGGTTATTGATTCACAACTAAAGGCAACAGACACCGGGTCTCGTTTGGTATGAAGTAAAAAAAAATCTTCCAACTGTTTAATCCTTATCCTCCGCAGTTCCACGTTGCAACACTGAGCTAACTGCTAAAAACATTAGCACTCTACAAGCAACTTGCGGTTAGGAAGTCGAGTCTGGGGACTTTGAGTTGGGCTCTCAGATCGCTGGTGCTGAGGTCGCTGAGGTGGTTAAAAAGCTCCTCTGTGGCAAGGCCCTGGGGGTGGATGAGATCCGGCCGGAGCTCCTTAAGGCTCTGGATGTTGTGGGGCTGTGTTGGCTGACGCGGCTCTGCAATATCGTGTGGACATCAGGGGCAGTCCCACTGGACTGGCAGACCGGGGTGGTGGTCCCCTTATTTAAAAAGGGGGGCCGCTGGGTGTGTTCCAACTACAGGGGGATCACACTCCTGAGCCTTCCTGGTAAGGTCTATTCAGGGGTTCTGGAGAGGAGGGATGGATTTCTCTTTATCTTGTATTTATTGTTTTTACTCTTTTTAACTTCTTTTACCTGTTATTGTAGTGGATATCTTTTATGTTTATTTTAGTGTCAGCACTTTGGTCGAGCTTTGTATTGATTTTAAAGTATTTTATAAATAAAGATGCTGTGCTATGCCCACTTTCAAGTGAAGTACACTTCTCTTTTGACATTTTATTTCTTGTGTTTGTTCACGATCTATATTTTGTTTGTATGCCATCTCTCCAACTCCACGATTTACCTGTCACCACATTTACTGGCACTGGCCCAACTGGTCCAAACACAGGTTCTCCCAATAAGATCGCATACAGGCCAGAATGCAAATGTGCCAGAGCTTTTCTTCTTTACTTTTTTAGCCTCTCCCTTTCTGCTCCACCTTTCCTGGCCCATCATTCACCAATATGTGCAAATTCAACATAAAAACAACAAAGCTAATTTCATGAAGTTAAAAGCATTAACTCAGTCTTACCTTTTGTTTATTTGTTTATTTAAGGATCCCCATTAGTCCTCACAACAGTGAAAACTTCCTGGTTTACCTGATAAAAGAAACAAAAAGAAAAAGAAAACACACACACATACAGTGTAGGATTGAAAATACACTGTTGCATGTACAATGTAAGAAAAACACAAGAAACACCTATAATCAACCTCATAAAACAAATATCATAAAAAAACACTAGAATCAAAATTCACTAAGAAGAAAAAATATATAATAATAGTAAATAAATAAATGAATAAAAGTAAAAATGCATTTAAAATTAGATCAATGAGTAAATAAAACAATAACAAAAACAAGGTGTTAATTCTATAAAGCTAGTTGAAATAGCTGAGCCTGTTGTCTGATATAAACTTATATTTTACAAATTTCTTAAGTTTATATCAGACAACAGACTTAAACCTTTGCTGGTTTAAGGTTATAACAATCTGTGTTATAGTAAAAACATTCACTTTTTTACGTGCCGGACAGTTCAGAAGTCTCTGATGCCACATTCCATCATGTTCTGGTTCTTCATAAGAACAAAACTCCACGAGGTGAACTCAGCTGCTCTACAACAGCACAGGACGATGAACTGTGGAGAGTGTCCGGTTCTGTCCGGACCTGAGCTAGACTCTGCCCTGCTGACTTCTGCGTGCGTCTTAATGGGTGCTGTACCCCTGCGCCCAAAGGCTCTCCTATTCTTTGTACTGGAGCATGCATGTGTCAGTTCACGATGTGTGGCCTATGGTAGAGACTGCTGTGCCCAAAAGTAACAGGAAATATGTCACAAGACGTAAGACGTAGTAAAAGTGTAAGTAACATTTTTAACTTGATTTTCTCTCTAAGTGTTTTTCTCCCCAGAAGAAGCTACAACGATGTTCTGCTGAGCTGTGGTGGCCTCATGGAGGGGGCCATCGTCTAGCACACTGCTGCTAACCACTTAAACATTCTCCCTCTCCTGATAATAACTTTTTACTCTCTTTGACGTTGGATGTGCTACTACTAGTTTACCCGTTTAATTATAGATCCACTAGGATAAACACAATAAAGTTTATCTCTCACCAAATAGAATATTTACTATTTATATAGTAAATAAATAATATAATTAATAACTAAACAGAATATTTACTAAGAAATCACAATGTTACCATAGAAACACTACTTTGTGTGTGTGTGTGTGTGTGTGTGTGTGTGTGTGTGTGTGTTTGAGAAACCACAAAAAAACCAATCATCCCATCATCTCTCTGTTTTTGTGGTTCACGGGTCTAACTACATCTCCTGTGGGCTGTTGTCACATACCAACTATTTTTAGACACGGTGAAAACCAAACTATTCATGTCAGCCTACGTCCTTGTTAGTGAGAGTATCAGTGTACACACACACATGCACGCACGCACGTACACACACACGCACGCACGTGCGCACACACACACGCACGCACGTGCACACACACACACACACACACTTTTCTATAAAAATCCTGCCAGGCGAAACAGCTACAGATCAGCCACGTTGGTAAAGGTGTAGAAATATTCAGTGGATTCAAATAGATTCTAAAATGATTTAAGAAGTAAGGACAGTTTTTACTTCAGTTATTTCTGGTGGAGATGGCATCCCACCAAGCAGTGTGGATCTTGAAACGTAAGTGTAAAGAATAATAATCTGATCTTTAATAATGCCAAATGTTTGGCTAAGAGGAAAACAGGCAGAGAGAGAGAAACAGGTCAGGTTTTGTTTTTTATCAGGTTCTCTGGAAAGTGTAGGAGGGGTGGAGGTGTGGTCATGTTCAGGTGGAATTCCCCTGAAGTCCAACCCCTTCAGATAAATGCAACAACAGGTGCATATTTGTGTAAAACAGGAACTGGTGAACCAGCAGAGGAGACGACTAAGACACAGAGGACAGACAGTCCGTATCCTACCGTGGTTTGTGCTGGAACTAGGTAAATTCTTGTCCGTTTCTATCATAGGTACATCTGTGGTGGTTGTGTTAGTTTAATTTGTGTTTCTACTGATTTTCAAAACAAGATGTCTCTTGTGTCCATTAGTGGCTAGATGTCTTCACCGTGCCTCAGCAGTATCCTGACTCACGCCAATTTCACCATGTATCAGTCCGGCTTGCCGGATGTCCTCCATCAGCAGACCAACCTGCAAAACCGGAACCTGGCGTTTGGCTACAACTCAAACGGTGAGAGAGTCTGCCGTCAGTGAGGGTTTGGTTTCTGGTCCTGGAGCTTTTATCACAAAGCAGAGGCTGTGGACCAGCTCTACTCTCACAGTGAACACGGACACCTGTTTCCAACACACAGATCATCTTGATCCAACTCACACTGACCTAAATCAGACAATGAGAGTTTAATGATTCGCCACAGAGTCAATGTTTAACTCAACACCACCATCAAAGCAGAGGAAGGTTTTTGTCACACTTACAACCTTCAGACCAGCTTCTAGCTTCACAGCACATTCTGCTGAGGAGGGTTCTCACGTTAAGAATAAAAACATGTTTCTGCTATTAAAAGAATACATGAAACAACAGACGTTTGGGATTGAAGATTGTTCTTTGATGGTCAAGACCATAAAAGGGAACAACCGTGGTTTGGTAGTTCCCTTTTATGGTCTTGATAAAAGGGGAACTTGTGACGAGTTCTGGGTTGTTACTGTGTCTCCTCAGCTCACACATACAAGCACCTCAACCCAATCTGCTGGACACCAACCCATGTCCTAGAATGGATCAGTGACCTTGTTGAGAGCATGAAGTTTGATGCTAGCACCCTGAGCCTGGCTTGTTGCTCCATCGATGGTCCCTCCCTCTGCTGCTTCGATCAGGAACAAATGATCACAATCTTCGGCCCACAGATTGGGCCTCAGCTCAGTCAGAGCTTACAGGAATACAAGACTAAATATG